AAACGCCTTTTTACCAAGATCTGTTCTGACCGCCTGCCACAACGTGAATCTAGAGCAGCATTCTTTTGCGGTGCGCGAATGAGTTTCATTGCCAGCCATGCCGGTCTTTGGTTGGTTCTTGTATGTTCTTGTCTTGTATTTGCGGCAGCTGGTCTTTGCTATTGTGCTGTTGTGCTTGTGGTGGGAGTTGTTGTAGCCAAATGGCTCCATGATGACTACACATATTTGCTACTTTAGAGCCTCTGGCGATGAAAAAGCCTTTTTACCAAGATCTGTTCTGACGGCCTGCACAACGTGAATCTAGAGCAGCATTCTTTTGTGGTGCGCACATGAGTTGCCTTTCAAGCCATGACATTGCCGGTTATTGGTTAGCTTTTGTCTTATATTTGCGGCAGCTGGCCTTTGCTATTGTGTTGTTGTGCTTGTGGTGGGAGTTGTGATATACAAAAGGCTCCATGATGACGGCATATATTTGCTACTTTAGAGCCTTTGGCGATGAAACAGCCTTTTTACCAAGATCTGTTCTGATAGCCCACGTCCAACTCCAGAGCAGTGCTTTTTCATATTTTGTCAATACGTTGTTTTGTGCGTGATTGGGCTTTTATATTCTTGGATTGTCTTGTGCTTGGAGTTTGTCTCTTTTGCCTTGCTTTGTTTTGGAGTCGTGGGCGTGACCAACGATGCTTTGTGATGATCGCATATATATATATATTTGCTACTCGACTCTAGAGCCTTTGGCGGTGAAGATCTGCCCCCTAGGGATCGACATACTTTCTAGGTACTTGGAGCCTCCAAGCCAGAAATATGGAGGCAGCCCCTCAGCAGAAAAGAGGGGAAGCTGTTGATCCATAGGGTGGAAGCTGTCAGCTGGTAGCCGGGATCCATTGAGGAAGTTTCGGTTTTGCTGGGATCTCGGTTCGTGGCTGGATGAAGGGAGACACCTTTGTAGCTGGGATTGCCCCGCTCTGTTTCGCCAGACGTCCCAGGCCTGTGCAGTGTGGGGAAGACGAGCGATTAGTGCAGCGATTAGCAACAGAGGGATGGCTGGATGATTTGGGTCTAGCATGGTATAGCCCATGCCGCTCACATGAACCAAATAAATCAGGTGCGGTGTGCGCAAGGTGCGGGCAGCAGCCCCCTTCTGGCTGCTTCTTGCGGACCGTGGTGAATGCACTCCGTCGACCGCCCTCGCAGGAGAGGCGAAGACTTTGAAGGCGGCGTCTCCCGTCAGGGCACCCCGGTGGACTCCGTGAGGACTCGGTGGGACCCGGTGAGGAGGTCCGGTTTGGTCGCTTGTAGATTCGCATTTTGGTCCATGATCTCAGGTGTTTGCCTCTTAGGGATCTAAATTAAATGATAAGTATAGCACATTTGCAAGTACCTCTGCACTATTGCACTATGCCCCTCTTGGACCAACCCTTTGGAAGTGTTTGGCAGATGATTGAGTGATCGACAGTGGAGCAATCCACGGTCGCCGACTGCGGTCGCCGACCTCGTTCCTCTCGGCATTTCCTCAGGGCCGCCGTGCCAGCAGCCGACCCCAGAGCACCCCTGAGCCGCTGGGCCAGCGAAGTGGTTGCATATGGAGACTAAGAATACAGCTCCTATATAGTAGCTTCTTGCTCCTAGTAGTAAGGCCAGGAGCCCCTAGTAGCGTCCTTGTTCCTAGTAGCGATGCCAGGAGCCCCTAGTAGCGAACATTGTTCCTAGGAAGGAGGGATAGATAGGATCCTGGAGGAGGCAGAATTCCATTCTGTTCAAACCTGCGGACGGGGGACCCTGTCTTGGAACAGCACCATCGATGGTCGTAGTATGTCGCAGCTTTGCTTTCCTTCAAGTATTTGTACAACATCAGTGCTGCCCTCGGATTCTGCCCTAGCATTTTCAGAGGCCCCGGGCGCAGCAGAGTGTTGATGCTGCTGAATTAGTTAGAGGATGTTAGAGGCACAGAACCAGCTACCCATAGATAGATGCAGCGCCATCCATTTGCACCCACTCCGGTACTTTTCAACCTGGTCGCACCCGGTCGCCTTGCGACACAGCCTTTGCGACGAGCGACAAGCCCGGCTCAGACCGGATCGGACGAGGTCACCACCTGTGACCGAAGCACCTGCCAGTTCCACCCTGAGTCATGTGGTCGATGGTTTGTGTTTTTCGGGTCTGGTGTTTTGACAGGACGCAGGACTGGAAATGGCTTCAAGTCAATTCCATGCAGAGAAAAGGTTCAACAAACGCGTGCACTTGGCAATTGATGTCTCTATTTGGCACTTGGCGGATTTGGGCCTCTTTCAAACACTGCCGGTGCGTGTGACTCAGCCGAGGTCCGGATGCCGAGCCGCTTGGTCTGCAGAACCCGTCGGCCCGAAAGGACGCAGGGCCGTCGGCCGTCAACGCGAAAGGGGAAACAGATGAAAACACCGGGTGACGCGGTGTAGTGAAAGAAACAAAGTGGATGTTTCCCTATCGAAACATATTTGAACATCCAGTTTTCAACGTATGAAACATAAAGCACAGTGCTTTGGAACTTGGGATATGATGGCCGCTGTGAAGTGGATTTCACAAACAAGAGCGAGCTAATTAGCTAGCTAGAGTGAATCACTCAACCCCCGAAAACTCTTAAGATACTCTTTTAATAACGAGTAAACATAGAGGACAGCCATAATTGAGGAGGGATACGCCCTTGGACAGAGTTGTAATTTGAGTCACACTAGACCGAAGACATGGACGCAGGAACACCATTTCCAGCTGCCCCCATAATTTCCTGAATTACTGTATACACTTCATAATGCTTTAATTAGATTCTAGTCTTGTTGGTCTGATTTGGGTGTAGCCTGTGCTACTTCTTGCTTGCAGCAGCACTTACTGAGGCCCAAAGCCAGCTCTTACCGCGCGCGGCGGGAGGCGGAACAGACCCAGACCCCAAACAGTCAGACCCATGTGGGTGGCGCTGAAGCCACTCAAAGCAACATCCAAGTGACGACTCTGCAATGCTCCTGGTCTTGATGTACTTTGTTGATGAAATAGCCCCCCCCATATGAAGAGGTCCCACCCACACCCATCATACAACATAACAAGGGGTTTGTGTGGACGCGTACCTGCCCGCAAGGTTGATGCATCCAACTGGGGGTTTCTTACGTAATCAATATTGACAAAGGCCAGCCTGTTTCTTCGTCCGGAGGCCAGCCGGAGCCGCGAGAAAGGCGGAAGCGGAGCCAAAGCCCCGGAAGCCAAGGCATGTGGTGCAAGCGGGGGCTTCAGTACTGTAGGCCCAGGTTGGGGGCTGTAGTTTGGGGGTACCTCAAGAATCATCTCAGGAGGAACATGCTCAAGAAGTTATAAAATACGTTCTTATGAGATCAAAAGATCCCTTCTTTAAAGTGCCATCAGTGCCGTATGTGATCTGAGTGTGTTTGAGTTCTCATGCGTGCACAAAAAATGGTTGATCCTGTGACTTGGTTCAGTGTAGACGCACTGATTCAACAACTCTGAAATGGATGGGATCTCACTTAAGGACAGTGTTGGAGATTGTGTCGAATGGCGCCAAAGATTCCGAATCTTCGACTTCCTTTTTGATCTACAAAGACCGGGAGTCAGGAAGCTGGAAGGCGACCCACTGTACTGTTGATATCCCCTTTCTTTCACCTGAGCTGGTGACTTTTGTTGTTCCAGGGTGGGGCAAGAAGTAGTTCATGAGGTCATGCCAGTCAAGAGCATACCCTTCTAATGAAACACATGCTGTACTCGTACTTTCCCTCAATCCCTTATCTCTCTTTTCAGGCACGCCAACAGGATCTCAAAACTCTCATGTTTGATGCGAATATTGAGATAGAATGGGATACAAGGAGAAACCCAAAAAGATACTCACAAAACCAACCCTTTAGACTGTACGTCTTGGCTCAAATCCAAATGAAATTGTTCTTGAGATTGAACCTTGACAGTTCCTTAGATCATGATCCAAAGTAGAAGCCAGGCCGAAGAATTGGATTTCTGACGCCAGCATCTGCCCTTGCGAAGACGTGGAAAAGAAGGACGAACAGCTGCAGGTGTTGACTGGTGTGCCTCAAAATAGTTGGACCCTAAGTATATCTAAGTATCCATGAAGAGATCCTGCAAGTGGAACACCAGAATCCCTGAAAATACAGGAGGAGTAGATACTAGATACTACCTAACTCAGCTTTTTTGTCCTTCGGTCCAGCCAAGTCCGCCTGGACATCTCCCAAAGTCCTTCGCGGCGCGTGTCTCGCCCAAAGCTTCGGCTTTGCATCGCACACAAAAATTTATATACTGTATACTATATCATATATCATCTATATCCAGGTTGAGTCGCACTTGTTTGTGTGCGCAATTGGTTGCATCCATCAAATAATCCGTCGTCGAGCGCTCGGATGGACCGGCCAACAGCTCCAAGAGAGCCACTCTACTGGACTTACCAGGGCCATGCCATCTGGAAGAGTGGACTTCCATGTTCATGATACCAGCTGGGAAGTTCATTGAAGTTCATGAGCAGCGAGTTGTAACAGGTCACTTGAGTGATAGTATGCTGCTTGGTTCAGCTGTGCTCAAGCTGCCGCTGTTGAAGCCCTCCCCAACACAGACAGTATGTGTTTTGCATGACCCGAGCTCTGCCGCTTTCGACATGCAGCCCGGGTCCTTGCACGACTTTCTCAAAAAAAACAATCCAGTATTGTGGCCATCCAAACACCCTGGAACACTCACCCCTCACCTGGTGGCGATCGGTTAACCTCGGCGTTTCCCGTGCGGAACTCCTCTCGTTTGTCCCATGGCCTAAAATGACGAGCCGCACTGCGAGTAAGAGCGTGGCCATCGCCGATGGTCCAAAGGCTTGGGACGTTGGGTGCATCAAAAGCGCCATCCGGTTTTTGGACGAATGTAGACTCTTGAGGACCATGGTTGCCCCCCCACATGAAGAGGATTTCATAGCATGTCCAATTCCAATTGTGGGGGGGCAACCATGGTCCTCAAGAGTCTAGATTCCATTAAGCCATCCAACCCCATGGTTGGACAGATGGTGACTCTTATAGTCACTTCGGCTCCTCGGGTAGGAGCCGACAAGCGAAGAAGTTGTGTGGATCGTGACGCGCCCGTTGATCGTGACGCGTCTGGCCCGGCCTGTTGGGGCCAGACAGGCACGTCAGAAGGCAAACCATCCGACCGTTTTTTGGAGTCATCCGAGTATGAATGAACACCCGGCAGATTGGTTTCGACGCGGTTTCAATGGTCGATTTCGGCAGATGAACACAAGAGTCTTTTGGGTATTGGTCCGGACTACTGTGGGTGCATGCTTGTTGGGGACGACCCCCAAACTGTCCAAACAGTCCTATTACCTGCCTGTAACAGTCCGTAAAGAATTATAGCTATTTTAGAGAAAGGCCTTTACCAACCATCATCATCCACTATGGCTGGCAATGGGATATACCGTATGACAAAACCGATATACATCGATGTACCCACTAATCCTGTTGTTCATCCTGTTGGGGGTTGGTGAATGTTGACTGACCTTGAGGGCTTTGCCGAGTGGGGTTGAGCCAGCGAAGCCACAACGTTGGGTGTCTGTGATAACCTCTGCCAGACTCGGTCTTCAGGACCCATTACTGGGAGAGCATCAGAACTGTACCCCTTAGGTACAGAGCTAGTCACGAAACTTGCAATTGATTCATCTGGATTCCTGAAAGCGGTTTCACTGGTGTGTTGGACACGCCTTTTTTTTCCTGGTTGGGACAGCCCCAAAGCAACCAGATCCAACATGAACCAACCAGGTCTGTGATTCTGCACCTGTTTTACCTTGTTTCCCAGAATTGGTTTGAGGGAAAATTTACAGGACATGCACAGTTTCGAGTCTGAAAACCTTAAATCAATCCCATTGATCGTTCCACTGGAATGACGAACCCCGGTCAAACCCATCGATACAAACCGTGATTCTCCGTGATTCGCAGTACCGTGAGCAGCGTCCGGCAGCGCTGGTATCTTGGTGACACCGATTAGCGGAGACCTCGAAGTAGAGAGGAACATCGACCAGTGGCTTTTTGTCGTCGTGGCTTTTCCTTCCCAGGAGCAAAGGGCATCGCTACTAGGAACAAGGACGCTACTAGGGGCTCCTAGCCGTACTACTAGGAGCGAGAAGCTACCACCAGACCTTTTGTGTAGCTGAAATTTGGTTCAAGCTCCCAACAACAAGGTCCCCCGGTAGGTGGCCGGACAATCGACCAGTTGACTTTTGACTACACCTAGGGTGTAGGGAAACCCACGAGACTTGTATGAGCCTGAGTGCACTACTGAGACACCTAGTAGGGGCGTCGCTACTCCCATGCAGTTGTATTCTTTTCAGCCCAGTGTCATGTCATTCTTTGCCTGCCAATCGGTTCTTTTGGTGTATATTCTAACTAATACTTGCATTATTTCTTTTGAGAGGCCTTCCAAACCGCAAGAATCACTAAGAATTGACTTCCCCTCCCACCTCCACAGCCAAGCCGCCGCCAAGGAGGAGGAGCGATCAGAGACTCACTCTGCATGGATGTCCCTCGGTTCTCGGACGCTTGAAGCGTCCGCACCGTCGCGGCGGCGTCTCTGGTGATCCGAAGAACGTCCAGTCGTCCAGTCCGGTTCCGCCTGAAGCCGGCGCCCCGTCCAGGCGTCCGAAGGTTCATGGTGGGGAGAGTCGAAATTGAACAACCGGGAGCCAGCAGCTGGGGCAACGTGTTTTGCCAAGTCCTGGCCAGCCAGGTGTTTGAGTCATACGAGCTTGTCTTTTGACAATGTTCTATTTGATGTAAACCTAATCAGCGGAATTTGGTTTCCTTATCAATTTAACCATCCGAGACCTTTTACCGGTTCAAAGCACACCAAATTCCTCCTCATTTACTGTAAGTGTTGGCGCTCTTGTGCCAAGTGCAAAGCACCACCCCACCTGTCCCATCCGCTGTTCGGAGATGATATTTGTGCTGGAAAACGTTGAACTTTTTATGGTTTCAAAAAGGACAACTGCTTTACCCCCGTTTCTTTTTTGTGGGTAAACATCGCACGCACGGCTCAGGACGACCGAGCAGGAGCGGGCGGGTCTGAACGGGTGGCCGGGTGGCCCCAACGTTCTCCACAAAGGCAGAAGGGAGCTGGAATCCGTGGCACAAGCAGCCCCAAAGTAAAATAGCAACCTAAAGACAGGCTTTGAAGTGGAGCAGTTCCTCCACCAATGCCATTGTTCGTCAATCCAACGCCCAAGGGCCGTAGAAGCTGGCAACCACCACCCTGAGAAGCTCCGCAGGATGCGGAGTCCCTGAAAAGCTGGCCTTCTCCCTCAGGGGAAGAGGCGCGACAATTGTGCGTTTTTTTATCTTTTCGTGTTCCAAAGGTTCGGCTTTTGCCGGGCGCATTTGTTTGTGAACCTGGTCCAATTCAATAGGAGGATCATGGCATGGAGAAGTGAAGACGGCATTTGACTTGCCCGAAATCTCAGCACAAAAAGCCTCAAAAACCAGCTTGAAGATTCTGTTGTCTCATGTCTCTTGGAGATGGACTGAGAAGCTGAACACACGACGAGAAGCCGACCTCAGGTTGATGCCTTTGACGTGGTGGAGCTGAGCTGCCCGTTGGAGTCCGTGGCGGTCGCCGGGTATTTTCTGGGGCGTGGCATCCGTGAAACGGCAGATCGAAGACCGGAAGAGGTTGCCACCCTTGGGTTCAACAAATCGATAAAAGCAATTGTAAACAAAGACACAGCTTAATAGACATGTAGTATCAACCAACAGTTTGACCAACATGGTCATGTTCAACACACACACACACACATATATATATATATATAACACATTATATAACCAATTGCAACCTTCAAGCAATCACGTGGCCATTCAGTTTGGAGATTCAATCGGAATTCAAGGCGTTCTCTTCGCACGCCCAAGCGTTCGCCCACCTCTAGGTTGCAGCACCACTCACTGCTTTGCACGAACAGCTGGTGGCCATATCTACGGTTGGGGATCCAACTCCTACGGCGAGCTGGGCTTTGCAGGCGCCAGCGGGTCGGCCGGCGACGTCCGTGTTGAGAACCACCCAGGACACCCAGGACCCCTATGACAGCCAATGGCTGTTCAATAGGACACCTGCATTTCAGCGATCTCACAAGGAATTGAATCAACCTCACAAACCACATCCATTTGTCAAGGCGCGCTTCCATTTGTGTTTTGTTTTTTCACCTGTGGGATACAACTACCTCTCACATTTAGCATCAAAATCCACCAAGTCATCTCCGGGTCATCCCCTAAAGCGGTTTTGTGGCAAATCTTCGGATCGCCCTTGTTGGACCTAGGACCGTCGTTTTTTTCCGGAGATCTCTCTATATATATGTGGTAAAGTAGTTGTTACTAGTAGCTTCTTGCTACAGTCGTAGCTTCTGGCCTCCAACCTACTTGCGATGGCCTCCACCTCAACCTAGCGTGCCTTCACGCTACTAGTATATAATATATTGGTATCGGTTTTTAATTATGGGCCAGTTAGTGGAGCGCCGATGTCTCGTGGGGACGGACGGACTCTGCCGCTGGGGAAGCGGACCTGACGCTTTGGACCATCGTTGTCCCAAATCCAAGACCATCCTTAGATTGTAAAGCAAGTGTCATCAAGGGTCCATTTGGGCAGCCTTGCTGCATGCATCGATTTTCGAACCATGCTCCACGCCCCCCCAAAAACATGACCAAACTGCCACGTTACTTACCTATTCCCTCTCCAAACGTGTCACAACAAAAGGACCAATGATGATCAATGCCCCGTCTACGTGTCTGAACTCGCACGCGACGAGCGCCCCCCCCCCGCGCCCGGGCTCTTGCTCGCAGATGACTCACAGAGCTACTTCTGGGTGCCCAAGGAGCTGATGATTCCTGGGAAGAACATCAAACAGGCCAGGCGGCTTTCCTTTCGGGGTACTTTGCTGGGGAATCAGTGGACTTGGATTTCGGAAAGGTTGTAGTTGTAGTGCTTCTGTTTAAAAGCCAATGCAGGAGAGATGTGCTTCTTTCTCTTGGAATCCAGTTTGATTAGTTTTAGTGAGCGGACGTGCATCAACTTGACGTGCTCGTGGACTATTTGACGCGTGATGTGTGACATACCCAAGCCCCAAAAGCAAAACCATCGCCCGAAATGGGCGAAATGGGTCCAAGACATCCGGTTTTCTGGCAAGGCGACCCCGACCCCCCGCCAGGTGTGCTGTGGACAAGAGTCGTGGGCTCAGATGGGAAAGCGCTTGTTGGAGAGTTGTAGGAGCGGAGCACTCAGAACAAGAGAAACTGGCTATGGATATGGATATGGGCTCCAAATATGGAGAAGATGCGCATCCTCCCAATCTTGATGCCTGGTTGGCTTTATCTATCTATCTTCCTTTCGCACGATATTCCTAATGTCATATTGTTGCTACCCTCCATCGGTTAAATTAAAGATGGAAGCGGACACCTCAGGTGTGAAGTGAACTGACAGAAATGGATTCCTAAGGTGCCACGCAAAGCACCACATCGCCTTTTTTATCGTTGTCTCATTGTGCCGTGTACACTGCAAAAAGAGGTTGTGACCACATCGCTCCATACTTTCATGCCGGCAATCATTACACTCGCTTACATGGAAGTGGTGAGTACCACGGTGTTTGAAGTAGTCTAAGTCGTCTTCCAAGTGACCATTGTCCGTCCACTTCCACCATGTGACTACTCTTCGTCAGAGTGTATTCCATTCGAACGAACCAAAAACCCGCCGACACCCGAAAGGTGAAAAGGAACCGGATCGCCGGCGGGACCCACGCCGCTCGCTAGCCGATAGCCGATAGCTGAGGACAGCAAAAGACAATGGAACTGTGCGGTGATGATGATGATGATGATGATGATGATGATGATGATGATGATGATGATGATGATGATGATGATGATGATGATGATGAGACACATGTGGTGATGATGATGATGATGATGGTGATGGGGTGCTGACGATGTTGTTTCGTTGATGAGGTTTACCTTGGCCATCACCTTCACTGGAGAAATCTGGTCCTGGGGCAAGGGCTCAGAAGGTCAACTAGGCCTGGGGCATTGCCGATGCTTGGATGAAGGCGATCGGCATCACAGGCAAACGTGTTTTTGCGCGGTGGGTGCCGATAAAATAAGGACATGACTTGTACTGCAGAAGACTCGCGTCTTTTTGCCACCCTGTGGGGAATTCTTCGTACAAACCACCACCTGGGACCAGTCCAGAAAGCTGCTGAGACTTTATGATCAGGTCTGTGAGTCTCTGGGGTGGTTTCTGTGAGTCTCATGCGCCAAATATCACAACTCGGGAAGGGGACACTTCGGCGAAGGGGACAGTACTGCCGCATGGTGCTGACTCAACATGGTTTACACAAAACCATCAAAAAACCTTCAGACTCTTCAGTTTCAAAGAGGGCCTCACAAGCACATGTCTTCACTTTCCGCTCCAAAAAGGCACCATCACGGTCCGACCCAAAGGTCGGTCCGCGCCCCGGAAAGCAAGCAGCGCTCGGTCCGAACCCATGTGAATGACCTATCGTGTACCATCTAGCATGAAGCCTCATTCACAGGAAGCCTCAGTCATTCAACATGGTCCTTCTCGGATCACGGGAAGCCTCACCACTTCTCACCGGTTTAGACGTGGACGCCGTTCGTGGACCGACCCACACCGACCCACACCGCGAGACCGGACCGCCGAGAGCTGAGCACTGCGCGAACCGCCACGACGCGGTTCGCGGCGGGTCCTGGATGGACCCGGAGCGGAGGATCCTCGTGGTTCCTGCGAGTCCGCTCGAAACCAGTGGAAGTTCATGGTCCGTAATGTAGACTCTTAATTCATAAACCCCCACATGAAGAGGATTTCCAAGTCAAGAGGGTTTCCAATTCAATGATTTTCATATGTAAACCCCCATATGAAGAAGAGGATGTCCAATTCAGGATATTCAAGTACGGGGGCTTACTAATCAAGAGTCTTAGTCCGATCATTCTGGGATCATTCGTTTGGGCGCTCAAGAGGTGCGCCATCACTGCACACCTTGAACCGCAAACGCTCTTCCACCCTTCCGAGTGGTGGAGGATTGTGTACTGTCAATTAATGTATCTCTATATGTAATATATAGATATGATATGCGGAAGGATAATGATGGACTTTTGACTGATTGAACAATTGTCACTGGTTTTTCTTTAGGCCGTATTCATCAATCCTCACTTGAACTCTTTTTTCCACACAAGGGCCGCAGCACCCTTTTGTCCGCACTGCCTCACATCATCTCATTTCCCCCTTCTTCCACCTTTCTTCAGTTGGTTTGGGGTTGACTCACATGGGGTTGAGTAAATATTCTTTGATTTTGATACATTTTTTGGGGTGGTTGACTCCATTTCTCCCCCCCCACCCACCGAACGCGGACCCTCCTTCGGACGCCATTCTTCCGCCGAGCGGAGCGAGCGTTTCTGCGCGCGCGCGACCGCCCGAGGAGATGAAGGACAGCCGTGTCGCATTGGACTGGAGAACGTCCTCAGCTGCGCCGCCGGGGAGTTCCTTGCGCCAAACGCGCGCTTGTGTAGGAACAAGAAGCTACTAGTAGCAGGGACGTTATTAGGTGGAGGCCATCGCGAGTAGGTTGGAAGCCATCGCTGCGAGCTTTGCGCCAACCCGACCGCGCGGATGGTCCGGTGCTTTTGGTTCTCGCACAGTTGCGACGTCGATGGCGCCGGATCGATGGTGTGAGCTGTTCAAGAAGGTTGAGAGCAGGTGAAAGACCAGAGTGCCACAGCAGTTGCTGTATGAACTTGAACTCTAGGATGAGGTACCTCAAGTGCAGAATTTGCCATTCTATATACTGCAATATACTGCATATATTATGTTGTACATAACCAGCTAATACTAGAGGGTCATTTGATATATCGTACCACAGCAAACCTTTGGGTCCTGTGCTCTTAGTTAGACGGCTAGGGAACATGCTGTCTAGCTGCCGCTGCTCTGGATGTTTCTCGAACCGGACCTTCCTCCAAGGCAGCACAGCGCTGCCATCGCGGAATCCACGGATGGAAGCGCCTGGGTGGCATGGAGCATGGCTCAGCTTATCGATGGGGCGTGACCGGAGATGACCGGAGCGACGTTTTCCATGCCAACGGCGAGTGATGCGAAACCGAAACACGGCGAAAGCCCCGGTGTCAGAGCCGAGAACCGGTCGGTCTGTTTTGACTGGTTGGGTCGTTCGTGGACCTCGGAAACCCCGGTTGGGGGAAAGAAACACTCCTTTAAAAAACACCTTTTCTTGTGCAGACAAGTAGGCCAGCAGAATATGTTTTTCCATGATACCCTGGTGGTCCGGTGTGCGTCAGCCGGCACTTGCCGCGCAGCCAAGCCACGCGGCCCCGACTCAGGAGTTCTCTACACCTGGGGCATGGCCGACAGTGGCATGTTGGGTCTGGGTGGCTTCATTACCTGTGGGCCGTGCAGCATGCCCACGCAGGTGTGACTGCCTGCGACGTGTTTATATGTGTCGTTGTCGAACTGACGAAAGCACTAGGGTGGATGGAAGGAAGACAATGGAAAGCCCATGTAAAGCCTACAGAAACCATTGCCTCCAACAGCACAGCGGAAGATAGTGGACATTCGACAAACTGGACATGCAGAAGCTGTTGAAAACATGTCTCCAAGTCTGTTAACATGAGGACACTGTATATTCAAGGTTCACTGGCTCTGGCCAGCTCTGGCGGGAACCGAGAGGATTCTCCTGGACCGTCCGACCATCCTCGTTCAGACCCCCAACCGTTCGCACCGTTTCGCGCCGCCGAAGCGGCGTCCGCCTCGCCTCGCCGAGTGGCACCGATCTTCGGACGTCCTGCGAAGTCGTTTTCTTCGCAGGTGGAGTTTGACTTCGGCAAGAACATGTATCCCACCACGGCCATCCGGCATCAGCAGACTGATGGGATATTCTTGTTGACTTGGTGGAAAAGGGATCATTTATCCGGATGTGAAGCTCGTGGGCCAGTGATAGAGAAGGACAGTATAGGCATAGTAGGCCAAGGCTTCAATTGACTCAACGACAATGTCTACTGTATATCTTCATTCGTCTTTTGGTCCACTCGCTTTGTATTTGTTCACTCGCGTCACACCGCGTCACACCGTTCGTGACTGTCCGCACAGCCACAGCCACATGAGGTGAGATGTGGCCCCAGCCACACCGGGGTGATTTGCAACTCCACTGCAGTGGTCAAGACCAGAAGAGAGGCATTTCGCTGGGAGAGGAGAAGGAAGGCTTTCTTTGTATCGGAGACCTGCTTGGAAGCAAGAACAAATTGAAACTGCTTGGGTTGTCAAAATAGAGTCGTCTTGCCAGAAGCTGTTCGAGAAAAGCTCGAAGTTTGCCTGCAGGCCGAAGAGGACAATGCTCTCTATACCTTTGGAAATGGCTGGTATGGGAGGTGCGCTTGGCATCTAAACATGTTGTTTTGCACCTTTGCAGCATGCTGATTTCTTGCATTGTCGTAGTCGGTTGTCCGTTTAGATGCTCCCAATGTCGCTTGACTGACGCCTTGAAAGCAGTCTTCCTCGCATCAAGCAAAGGTAGGGTATTTTGTTCATGGGGATTTACAGTTCATCTACAATATATATATATATATACATATATTGAATTATATAGAGGGTTCACTGTATCATGTATAAATAGACATAGACATCTATATAGTAGACTAAACACATACGTGAACCCAAACCCTCTATCCACACACTGGACCGTACTCATCCAGACATGATACCGTACATGGCCGTGCTCAACATCATTGCTCTCCTTGGGGAAACCAAAACCGTTCCTCACATCTCCCAACCGGGCCCGAAAAATCGAGCGATGCCGAGCGCTACCGCGTCGCAGGTTGGGCCTGGGCGATACCAAGTCGCAGTTCCATCCGATGCGGGTGAAGCTGCCCAAATCGCTGCGAGACGTGTCGCTGGGCACCGACCACACTGCGGCGGTGGCTTGGACGTTCGAATCCGTTCCTTCGCGAAAGCCAAACCAGGCCGCGTTAGCGGTTTGTCATCCACCCAAGCCAGGCCGGGTTTTGGTAGTGAAGACAGGTGAACACAAACGAATCGTTTTGGTGGATGAGTTGGGTATCCTGGCAGGGAAGACCTTGGTTGATGAGTTACTGCAGTACTACTTAGATGTTAATTTTTCTCCGGTGTGCCTTTCAAGCACTGCCACAGAGCTAGAGCCAGCGGGCTGACTTGTCGATCTTCAACATTGGGGACCTTTTCATTTGATCTTGTGAACAATTTTAGGTGTATACTGTGTACTGGTCCATTTACAAAGATCACCCAACTGAGTGTGACGTTTTGTTCCCAACTGAGTGCGACGTCTTTGGGACCTTTGGGTCCGCGTCGCTTCGCGCGTTGGCCTTGGTGCACTGAGATCACTTGGGCGCATGAGCTCTATGCCTGGGGGAAGGCCTCCTTGCTTGGAGAAGTGCAACATGTGTCTGGTCAAAACATTTTTTTTTTCTGCACCTGACACAGCTTGAGGGTCATCTCTCTAGTATGATGTCCTTGAGACCCTTTAGTAGAAGATAACCGCAATCACATCTATCTATCTATCTATCTATCTATCTATCTAGAGTCTCAGGCCAGCTGTACTTCTTGCAATTTCCAGTTCACATCAGAATCAAGAGCTGGGTGCATTGAAGTCTGAAGTTGATTGATAACATCTTCTGTGTTTGATTGAAACCGTGTTTGGGATGCCCCAGCATGTGGCCGGGGTGCCTTTCGGTCCGGCGGCTTTCGCTCCAGAGGTTCTGAATCCCAAGAAGTTCTCCATCGAGGGAAGCTCTGAGTTTCGGAACGTGGTCTGCCGCTTGGACCGTGGTGCTGACCGCTGACCGCTGCTCTCCACGCATCTCCGCGTCGTCCGCGTCCGGTCGGGTCGTGGAAACGAGTTGGTCCGCGCGGAGTTCTCAGGAAGGTGGGGCCCTGGAAGGTGGGTCGGTCCCGCTGCTGGTTCGCTGAACTTGGCCTCCTGGTGGTCCATTTTGATAGGGAGATGGTTCCCTGGCCCAGGGCAGGCTAGATTGATCCACCCTCCTGGTCTTTGGACAGACACCCTCATGGTGACGCGCCGACTCGCCCCGACTCGCCCCACCACCGAGTCGGGACCCTGCGCTGGCTCGAAGCGATCGGGACCGTGCGAGTCGGGGCCCGATTTCGGGTCGAGTTCCGTTCCGAGGTGGAGGAAATGAGACGTTCGTGATCGACCAGCAGGGCCGCTTATTCGCCTGGGGTGCCAATCAATGTGGGCAACTGGGCATAGGCTGGACGAGCTCGGACCAGATCCAAGAGTCACTGTGCAAGACACCCAGCGATGAGATAACGAGTGTGGGAAGCCAGATATTCTAGTTGAATTCTTGAACTTGAGCCAGCATGAATCCTTGAAGACCTGCCAGCTGAGCTAAACTGGTTGTGTTCCTACCAGCTCTTTTCCAGGGCAGCAAGCTGGAAGCTTCGTTCAGACCGCCAGCCATGTGAAGCCGATTCACGACCCCGCCGCCTGGTGACAAAGGTGTGGACGCTCCGGTCAGGACGGTCGAGGACAATGGATGCGTGAGCCCTGTTTTTGGATCCCCCAAAATGGCCAAACTTCTTATCAAGGAGGTCATGTTATGGTGCTAGGTATATTATATATGCTGGTACCTGGAGACACGATGTATATCTAACGTTATATACAAAATTATACAAAGAATATCGATCAACATCGATCAACCATCATATCAGAGAAAAACGGACTCTGCAAGCTGGCACTATGAAACTGGTTACTGGATCTTACTGGTCATTCTGCAGAGAGGAGACCTCCACAAATGACCTCCACATGTGAGCTCAGCTTGTGACGAGTCTAAGGGTCTAGGGAAATGCTGGCGTATGGTGGTGTCAGTTTCGATGGACAGAGTTGATTGATGTTGATTGACTGATCCCCTTTCATGGAGATAGGATCAGCGATTTCGCAATACAGATTGAGCAATGATCTTCGTGGGTTTACTGAGCTTTGTTGGTGTGGTCATCGTGCACCCCGAGAACGTGCTTGTTTACCAGCCATGTGGGCTTGTTTACAAGACGCGCAGTCTTTGCCGTAGTTACTTAGTTCCACTATGTCCTCTCACTCCACTCACTCCACTCACTCCACTCGGACGTTTCTTCGCTTTCTAAGCAGGGACAGAGACCTGCCAAAGACCTCAGATTTAAAGAAAGGAAACGAGAGAACACTGAACATGTGTGAAAGAAGCGAAGATAAACCCATGGGCCGCCCATGCACCAGATTTGAGTTGTACGGATTCTTAGTCGGACCCAGGTCGCCTCGGTGGTCTCGGGAGACACCTTCACCATCGCCCGACTGGCGCCCTCGGCTGGGGCGGACGGACCAACATGCGGACGGAAGCTGGGACCTGGGGACCTTGAAAACCTTGGGTTGTTTCTCTTACTGTAGATCATCTTGGAGCTCTTAGCAAGTATGTTTTTTTAGCATGGTAAACGCCATGTCAAAGCATGGTCCGGAGTTTGCTGGGATGTAGAATTCAGGGTGGGCAACTCTTCCCAGCTTGGCAACACTTATCTGATTCTCGGCAGGACCAGCCTGGTGCCCAAGAGGAAAACACTATATACAGTGAAACCATCCAAAAGCACGCAGTTGTGCTCCAAAAGCAGGTGGCACGGTTGCGCCCTCTTTCAACACTCTGCCGGTTTCTTCCAAGGTGAATGGTGATGTCTTAGCCTGGGGAAGCCAGAGTTGTGGCCGTTTGGGCCTGGTCGAAGTGAAGGAGACAGAAGCGGTCTCGACCGCGTCCCAGGGCGACCGACCTCCCATTCCGAGGCATGACTGGGTGTGCCGCATGACCTCTAACACTGGGTGTGTCCAAGAAGAGAAATTTTAGATATGTCCTGCAACCAGGCCCCATCCTCATCCTCATCTACTGTTACTGGTTTGCTGGGATAGAAATATCCCATCTAAGAACGGTCTAAAGTTGGACGGTTCAACCCAGGCGTTCTTGTGTCGAAGAGTTGGTCAATCCTGGCCCCGGCCTGGCCCCGACCTGGCCGACCTGGCCCTTGGTGAGGCCACCTTTGGTGAGCCAAACATGATCAACTATGCATAATGGGATATGATATATCCCAAGTGTATCCCAGTAAACAACAGCTCTTGCCCCACCAGATCTCAGGCAGACCATGTAGACTATGGCCAAACAGGCAAGGCACTCCATGACTCAAATGTAGTTATATTCAGAATGTAGATATCCTTACGCTACACATCATAAAGCAATAGTAGAGGTAGATCCACCATTTTTTGATTGTTATCCTCAATCCTGGATGTTTCATCTACTGAGCTGGTTCTTGAAACCTTAAGGTGACTCTGAAGTTTATTCAATTGAACATCGTTTGCTTCAACCATTTGGTCCGGCGACCAGAGGCCGCGCAGCCTCACATCGATGGGGAGACCACCTGACCTTTTCAGAGCTACACTGTCCGTGGGCTTTTCCGTATCTCGAGACACCATGGTAGTAAGTCGGACGTAAGTGCAGACTGCTGTGTCGCCAGAGAGAGAGGTTTGGGGTAGAAACCGAGCGAAGTTTTTGGTAGCCTTGCCGTGTGTTGAACCTGAACAGACATGAAATTATGCAAGGAAATCTCACAACGGCTGGACTTGACATGACTTGACTCAATCCAACAGTTGTGCGTCTTGAGCGGGAAACATGCAAACCTGGACAATGAGGAAACCACAGGACCAGGTCCTTTTTCCGCCTCGACATGTCCCTCTAACTCAGGGCCAGAGGAAGGACCGACCGGTTCGACCCCAGGAGGAGCGCATCTGCTGGGACCCCTCCCTGGTCGTGGCCACCTGGTCAACCGCTGCCGCGGTCTCTGCTAAGAAGACAGGGCCACCCGGCAGAGGAAGGACTGAAGGAAGGCCCTGCCCCTCCCTCCCAAAAACCTTTTACTCTTGGTTTGTTGATTTATACCTGGGATACTGCAGATACATTCAATAGGTCTCTGAACCTCTTGATTTGTTCCAAAAGGACGTCAGAAGGGAGATCTGGCTGGTTCCCTCCAATCTGAACTTGAGTTCGGAATCCCAGGTCTCAGTGCAAAACACTCTGAATCTATCATCCCAATACGTGATTGAACTGTCAAACATCCGATACCATCGCATCTCAATCCGAGCGCAGCTCGACGGTGTCCGGAGCATCTATCTCGGGGGGGATCACTTGAGAATTTTGGAAGAGCACCATGGGTCCTGGGGTCTTGGGATGTCTTGCGATGTCTAAGTTTCAGAGTGGGTTGTGGCTCCAGTCCATTGGTAAGAGTCCACTTATGTAACTTTCCTGGGATTTGGCGAGGCGGGGGGATCCATAATATTCCTCTTTATAGATTTAACAAAGAAGGGTCAGGGAATCCTCTAAACACTTGCTTTACAGAACGTGTTTCGTCGTTCTGTCCGAGCACCTTGCACCATGGATCGGACAAATTGAGGTATACATGTGTTATACCCCAGCTGCGCGTACTCCTACGGTTCTCTGCTGTTGAGGCGCAAAAATCGCAAATCGATGGGAAGCGTACGTACCGACACCACAGATGCTGAGGACTGCCCGGTTGTGTGTCTCTTTCAGCCTCCCAGTTTCGCCAGCTGCATACATTTGCAGGAAGTGCCTCAGGCAAAGCAGACAGCTGGCAAAGACAAGACTGCCAATGTTGCTGCTTGCTCAGCCTTAAGACACTGCCATGGTGTTATCCATTGAATGTTTCGAGGCATTACTTTAGGGATGTCACCCGGCAGGAAGCATGATCGCTGAGGTTAGCTTTGTGATGCTCCAAACCGTGCTGCAGCAAGAAAGCAATGATCACAGCAGTGCTGAACTGAAGCGTTATGCCGAACAACTGGAGCAGACTGCGAAGCTTGGTTATGAGGACGATGTCTGAGCTTCTTTGTGGCTTTTTCTTGTGGACGGGGCGGAGGATTTGCTTTGAACATGACCTACTGGCTGCCGGACCACATGGATTCAATCAGACTCAGAGCAGATTGTTGGTGTTGCGAAGTTGGTGCTCGACCCAGGAAAGAGATCGTTTGGGATATCCAGAAGCTCAAGAAAGAAGAGGACTGTCAATGGTGGGACTTGTGACACAATGCCGAAATGGCATCGCTCTCTCAATGTTTGATTGAACAAGAACGGCTCAGTGCGAAGGTTTATCATCAGGACATCATTGATGTCAAACCTTGATTCTTGGTCAAGATCACACAGACTTCCACTGTGATGGCTACTTCTGCGAAAACGCTTTCAGCTGGCACCCAGACAGACAGCCCAGTTGGGCCCGCTGTCGCCAGGAGCCCTTGCTGAAGCTGGAAGCCCAGCTCAGTGACTCCTTGAAGATGAATCTTCGCCACCTGGTTCCGAACACTCCACAATGACCGGGACGACCGGCGACGACCGGTGGGTGCGAACTCACACGATGGGCGGAGGGAAACGGTTTCACGAGCCGAGCCGGGAAGGAAGCGGAAGGAAGGGAGGGGTACCCGCTGTTTCTTGTGGGGTTGAACTGTCAAAGATCGTCTGCTTGAGCTTGTGGTTGATTGTCCACCCACTGCCTTGAACCGTACCTATATAGTATAAGGAGTATGTAAGGAGTATCAGTATAATACCATCTTTTTTGATTTATTTGGCGGCCTCCCAACCCAAAGCGCTCGTTGCCAAACGCTCGTCATGCGAGTCGGCCGATCGAAACGGATGAAGCGAGCAGGGTGAGACGACATGTCGTTTACTGTAGTCTCAACGGAATGCAAGTAGGCTGACATGGAAAAAAGGGCCATGCCTAGCAGAAAAAGATTCATAGTCAGTGCACTCCTTCTACCTTTATATACTTATTTTACGACCAAGCACCTACAAAATCAGAGGCCATTTTGAGAGACACAGAAGCGCTTCGATCCTGACGTTCGATCTGGGTGACCCATCTGGTCAGATGGGTTTTCAGGCCCCTGGAAAACGCTGGGCGTCGTTGACCGGATCTCCGCCATCGCGGCGACACGGCCGAGGTTGGTTTCGCGGCCTGGTGGTGCCCGACGCTTCCACGACCTTGTTGGATGCACGACTTCCGCACCACTTGGCGGTGGGGTGGGGCGGCACTCGGAGGGGAGCATGTCACCGGAGCGGTTGGACGATCATGCTGTCGTTTGAATGCGCTTGGCGTAGTACTTGGTTCTCCAATGTAGCGCACACACATTCACACATGGAAGTGGAACAAGAGTTCATGATCTAGCCCAGGACCACCCCGATGCTCTACATATCTCTACATTGTTCCTTAATCACTGCCTCGTCTTCGTTGCCCCGTTTTGTGCAGACCTATGCACGAATGTGTTGGATCCTGCAGCAGCAGACCACTTATCTGACTCAGCTCTCGCAGTACCTTCATGGCTTTGAGGCAGAAACCTTCAGGGCGGGGGCGGGGTGGCAGACGACTCAAGCTGCTGGTAAGCTTGTGCGGACGACTCCTGTTGAAGAAAGGAAGACCAGGAAGCGAAGGACCTCAGATGGGAACATCCAACATCTTTTGCAGTTTGATTCAGTTTGTAGAGGTTTGAGGGTTTCAGGTTCTGGTTCCCGGAAATCCGGGATCCCTGCACTTCATTTCTTCCATGCAGGCGTAAGATAAGCCCATTAATTGGGGCTGCCCTCCATTGTTCAGATACTTTGATACTTTGTTTCTGCTGAAAGGCAGAATTGAATATACTACATACTGAAGGATCGAATGTCACACAATGTTCGAGTATGATGTGCTTTTTCTCCAGGCAGACATTTTCTTGGAGACGGTTGATGCCCTTTTTGGGGACGTCAACGACGAGCGGCAGCTGCATCTCTTCAACTCCTTACAGACTCGAATGATTGCCAAGGAGGCAGAGAATGCAGGCGAAACGTCCCGCGCCCGACGCGCTAACCGCGGCACGTCCCGCGGGACGAACTCCCGGACACCCGCGTGGGTTGGAACCATATGAAACCACTCTCGGTCGGTTCGAACAAGAGAGGCAGAGGGGAGGAGTGGCAAGGAGTTCTCTTCTTTTAAAACCCCGACGAGTCGATGATTTTGACTTTTGCTGGGAACTCTCTGCTGAGGGGTGAAATCATTCACCTGGTCACCAAGGGCATTGTGGACCGCCTGCAAGGCACATTTTCAAGTCCAATTATATATTATATCAGCACGAATCAGCACCTATTGCCGCTTGTCATGTTAATAATCAGGGACACAACGCATTGACCACTGAATTCTTCGCTTTAGGGCTCTCAGGGAAGAAAAGACAACGTGACATGTTGCTGTGCGGCTGTGCAACACGACATCAGGCGGATCCCCTGAGAAGTTCATGGACAAGAGAGACTCCATTGGCTTTATGGTCTTCTCGCGACGTTTCTTGCGAGACCCGGTGACAGAAGTGACCCAACAGCTCTTTTATTTGCGATGTGTGAGGCGTTAAGAAGTCTTATATAATCTCATATAAGTTAATGATCTTTCCAAGAAGGCCACTCTCCATATTAATAGTACAATCAGGTACAATCCATTTTCCAGGGGCCATTCACTTTGTTATGTGTTGTTTGTTTCCTCAAATGGATTGCCCAAGAGATCCTGCGTTGAACCTTCAATCCCCAAGTTCGCTCCAAACACTGGCCCAAAACGCGCGTCAAAGGGCCGCTATGAGTTATATAACAGTGCGCGGGTGGTGTGTCTTTATTGGACCTTCTTCCTTTTCAACACATCAGCCCCCTGTGCTCGGTGCATGTCGCTTGCCGTGAGGCCAAGGTCGAAAAACATGGATGGTCGATGTATGTCGAGGTGATCGCGTTCTTTTTGGGCCGACCATCGCTTTTCGTTTGGACCACCGCGGCCGTGGCCGGGACCGGACGCGGCCGAACACGCTATGAGGACAGGCCTTCGCCAAGGACGTCTTGTGGCCCTTCCTGGGCTCCAAGGACCGGACGGTCTGTTCGTTGTTCGCTGGCGGTTTTTTTTGGTTTTTTGGAGCATTGGTTTTCTCAACACGAAAATAGGCATCCCAACCGGAAGATGTAGAAGCTATAGGAGTTCTCCAAAAAAGAATGAACGGGTGGGAATTCTGTCCATGCGGCCAGTGGACGCACTGTTGATGGGAAAGCCCCCATCTACAGGACTTGTCGCGTGCGTCGCAGATTGCCACGAGCGGACACCAATGTCGATTTGCTTCTACAATTCAACTTGAACTCCTTAAAAAGAAATCACACCTACTATAGTACCTATATGTAGTAGGTACTATAGTAGGAACTCTTCAAATCTACATATAAACCTACTGTAGTACCTACTATGCTTAATCTTCGCACCAGATCACCGGGTGCCTTTTTTGGGGTTGGTCTCAAAATGAGGATTGAGACTTGGTCTCTTCATCTTCTTTGGTTTTTTCCAGGGAGCTCCTTGAGGCTCCGGAAAATGCGCTCCAAGCATGTATGCAAGATTATGCAAGCATATGCAAGCTTTCCAGTCCAAATCTCGTTGAAGTGGAGGATTCCATTCTCGAACTGGTCGGCTCCATTTCCAGCTCTGCGAATAGCACTGGATTCTGCTTGAGCTATGCTGACTTCAAGGAGCGACCAGCAGGAAATTGGGATGTTGAAGCACATTTTCAGACGCGAGGTTCAGAATGAGGCAACATTTCCCTCACTGAGAACGGGTCTTTTTGCAGCTGAGCTCTACTTTCTTGGAAGATCTTAGGAATTTTCTTGAAGTTTTGACCCAGATGAAGCTGCGTTGAGAAAGATGTGGTCATGGCGGCAATGGCTCAAACATGGGCTACCATAGTGACTCCCAGGAAGTACAAGACCATAAAAAAGAACAAACTGTCTTTCGGTGGCCCGAAAAAAGGAGTTTCCTTTCCGTGGCGCGACTTCGAGGGCACTAGGTGTTAGGGCTCTTTTTGCCACACATCACTGGTCCACAGGGCTTTTCACGGTTCCTCGATGGTGCCGGACCCGACCCTGTCCAAGATATCGCCGTGTCAGGAGAAGCTGGGCGCAGATGGCAGAGGCAAAGATGAGGTGGAGTTGAACAACCTGTACTCTGGGAGCGGTTTGGATGCACCAAGCATTTCATGAAGCGCCTCAGCCCTCCAAATTCTGAAATGGCATGAAATGCCAGGAGTTCCTGGAAATGCATGCAAACACCGAGTTCTCCACCAACAGCAGTCCATCAGAACTTAACCGATGTTTGTTTGCACTCAGACCCCCGCTCTGGCCAGGTTTGAAGGCCTTCCGAGACTTCCTGACTGGAGGCCATTGGGGCCATGGCCCGTGTTAAAAAGAGGGAGGAGGTCTATAAGAGAGGCTTTTTGGACGTTTTCGGGGTTGAAGTTGAAAGGTAGAGTAGAGAGTTTCAACGTTTCATGGTCCTGCTCAATGAGTGCCGGATGCCCTCCCGAAAATATGGCTGGGTGTTTCGTGCCATGGTACTGGGTCTTTTGAAAACCTCCTATCATGAGCCATGTGGTCACGTGGCAGAACCAGGTGCGTCCCTGCTACGTAGTGAGTTCAACGCTCGGAGACCCCATGAAACTGGTCACAAAACGGTCCCAGGAAACAACCAAACCGCTGGCGGAGCGGTTTTTGATGCGCTTGTTGATTGCGATTGATCCAAAGACTGCCAAACGCCCTGACTCATTGATGTCTCAGAATGGCAGCAGTCTCGAAGTCCGTTGAAGCTTTGTGCGGAAGGTTTTCAATATCTCGTTCAGGTTTTCTGGACATCATCCGCAAGATCCAGTTGCCCAGATCCATGCAACTAGCTTTGCGTCAAGTGGCTCTGGCCTCCCAGAAGCTTGGCATCGTCCGTTCGAATTGCGTGGATGAAGCGCCAGGGCTCCGAAGTGTTGAGCACGTTGTCCCAGATCCATGCAGGTCACCAAGTACCCGCAGTACCCATTAAAAAGATCACGTCCCCAATTAAGAAAAAACACCATGTCCGAAACCCTAAATACGTTACTAGTTGTTTTAAATTACCGCCCTTCCAAACCGCTACTAAACTACCAACATGGTCGATTTTGGGGGTAGTTTTTAAACATTAGGTTCCAAAAACAACCCTAACTGCTCACCTCTGTCCACCCTGTCTATCCACCAGACACGCCGCGTTTACACCAGCAGGTTGTCCTTCCCCCAATGGCACGGACTCACCTTTCAAAAGCTTTAGTTGCTAGTCTAATGAAGAATCACTACTTAATAAAGGTGTTTGTAAGGTGAAAAGGAAGACCCTTCGATCTGGAGGTTTTTTCAATTTTGATACGAGTTTAAGAAAGGATTCTATATAAAGAATTTCCTGGGTGACTTTTTGGTTAATCAATGATGCAAGGATCCTCCCACTGACTCTATTTTGGACAACCCCGATTTCAGGGATCCCCAATTAAAAAACAATGCTCCCGAGTTTTTGTTAATAGGGGGTGATGGGGGGGCCTTTTTCTTTTTAAGGTGGAACGGATTAAGTGACAGTTGTTGCTAGACTGGTGAAGAATCATTGACCTTCGATGACCTTCGGCAAGACTGTTCGATGATGGGGTGGCTGATTCTCAGCCGTCGAAGGCACGAGCTTTCGACAGACATCCATCCGGCCCAGGCAAGGTGTCACACCTGAACTCAACACGGATCGGAGTTACAGTACTGAATCCATTTGCATGGTCTTTTTGAGCTTCCATCTGAGCCATGCATAGCCATGCGGGCTGGGTTGACCATGTTGATTTGGGTGCACAGGGCAAATGAGCTGGATGACTGTGAAACGACTGGCTGAGGAGATGGAAAGACTCAAGCCTTCTTGCAGATATTGAGAAGGAGCAAAGGCCGTACCAGCCAGCTTTAAGACCTTTGGCATTGGGCATGTGATCCGATCAAAGAAAACGGCGGCCCTTTGTTTCGGGGATTTGGAGGATGACCGACCTTGGGTGCGAACTGCAGTGAAACCACAGACTCCTCTGACTGACCTGGGGGGAGATTCCACTTCACTTTTTGTTGGATATAGGTTTGGAGGGTATGCTTTTGGGTGTGGGACAGGGGGACAGAGAGCGATTCCACCATATTCCACCTTTCTCGAGCAGGGTGAACATCAACAGGTCAAAATGCAATCATTCGGCCTTCTCCTCACTGGCACTGCGGTCATGCACCTGCACATACTTCGACAAACCTTGCATTGCGCTGGTGAACCTTCAGTCCTAATCGACAGATAATTCGCACAGCCCATGTTGTTTTCTTGGTAGACACATTTACTGGTGCAAAAGAGAGGTTTTGCTGGTTTTGCTTTAACATGTGGCTCCATTGTATTGTTTGTCGTGTCTAATCGAGTTTTGGGCTGTTTCGCTGGTTTTGCTCTAGGCTGCCAGGGCCTCCCATGATGTGTACTCGTACTACCCCCGGTGCGACTCAGCCGTTCGAGCCAAGGACTGTTTTGCTACGGCATCATCGAGCCCATCATGCGCGATGGAGCTCAATATGCAGCACCTTGGCTTGCAACACTTAGCTGCTTGGGGTTCTGTAGCCAGGCGGACATGGCAGAAAATGGTCATCTTTTGGTACCTTTTGGTACGTCCTTTTCTACAGCTTTGTTTAGTTGTTTGTGGCACGGGTGTTTAGATTCTCTATTTGAGCAGTGGAACATACCCGTGGCCCGCCTGAGCACCATATGTTTTTCAACAGGTTAAACAACATTCAACAACCAGCGTTTTCTTCTATGGGGTCAGGTGCCTGCGAACTTCCTGAAGAAGAGTGCCGCGGATTACAAGCCAGATGATCCGCAAATAGCATCAAACTTTGAGCCTTGGCAAAATACAACAACAACAACAGGTAAGCCTGGGTCGAGCTATTGGTGGACCACACCACCCCTAATCATGGAACATTTCACATTCCCGAGGTGATTGTAGATCCCCCTCAAGGGTCTTGGCTCAGTCGTTTAAAGGGATGATTTGCATCAGGAGGTGCAACAACAATCCTTTGGGATTTGAACCCAAATTTCCGTGTAGGGTGTAAGGAACTTGACAGCTGTTTGTTGGGACGGCATGGTCTGCAGCTTGCACGGCATGGATTCTGCACCAAAAACGCTTCTGAAGGATTGCATCGCTGACTTCTTGGACAAGATGCTGTCAAATACCATTGATCCAAAAGAGCTTCTTGCCTACAGTCAGTTCTTCGGTGTCTGCGGTTCTTCGCTTCGTCGCGTGCCTCGGTCCGGCTCCGTCACTTGACCGCACCTGGAGCAGATACTGCACAGATGAGCGTTGCCAACAGATCTGTGACCCTTCCGGAAGATCTGAGCTTGGGGATGGTCGGGGTGTTCCACCCCGCGGGCGAACATAGACGAAGGTGCTCGAGAGGCCGAAACTGGCGGGATTGGGAGGCACTCAAGACGGCCGAAGGGACCGACGGCCGTCTTTTCATTGGTCTTGGGATGTCTTGGGGCGGCTTGAACCCCTTTGAACCCTGTGGGCCTCTCCACCCTTCAACTGGGCACCCAGCCGGCTTTGATCTGGCTGACCGGGGGTTCTACCGAAGTCCAGCCGTGATCGACAGACAGGCACCCAAATCATCCCAAATGGAATCTTCCTCAATCTTCCGTGAACACCCAGTGATTTTGGGATCCAACCACGTGAAAAATCATCTTCCCAGTGGTTGTATCTCTCACATCCCCTTTCCCTGTCGCATCGCCGAGGAAGGCGCTGATTTCTGCTGCCCGGTTGATCAAAGAGGAGCTGCTGGCATATGTGCGCCGCCAGAGCGAGGTAGAGGATACCACTGGCCCAGACATCCTGGGAGACGCTTGGTCTCAGAAAACACGAGACCGTTTCTCCCCAAATGGACGGAACCTACTGAAAAATAATAACCTCAATATATATTGGGCATTCTCTATGTCAGATGGCTGGTTTCAGAGTTGGTGGCATTTCGACGCTTTCACATGGAGCCTCTCGGAAAAAGATCAACGCTTTAAGGGCCTGCTTCTTTGGGCTTGGTGTCAGATGACACCCATCAGTTGCACCTGCCTGATGTTTTCCTACTGACTACTAGCCGTTTGTTTTCATTCAGACCAAACAGCTGTTTCATGTCGACCACACTCGACCACTTCCGATTTGACGAGGCCACACTCCAGAGCCACTATTCGCGGGAGAAGAGCTTTGTGACCATGTCGCAGGTGCCCCCCGCGGGTGAGCCGCGAAAAGCACGGGAAGAGGAAGCACAGCATTCATGGTTTTCTTGTTCTGGAAGTCAATCAGGAATATTCTGCCGCTGCCGCAGCTTTCGAAAGTGCTTTGGTAGTGGATTGAGCTCTCTTTGGGTATCAATGGGTGAAAAGAGAGGGCTATGGTGCTGGGATCGGCGTGGCTTTACATTGACAGTTTCATTGTCAGGCACCAACCACACTGCAGCAGGCAATTTTTTGCAAATGTGTTCAAAAGGGTTTGGTAACCTTCAACACCAACATCCATGAACCACAGATGTAGTTCGTAGCTGTGAGTCTTGCCATCAACCGCCATGTTTCTCACTTGGCTGTACTTGTCTTTGTTATGCCCTGGTGATCCATGGTGTGTTTATTTTGAAAGCTGAGAGTGTCACTGCCATTCTTGGGTCCTATTTTCGCTCTTATTTTTAACCAGGCCCACATCATGAAGCTCTCAAACCTGCTGCTGGAATGGAGCAACAAGCTGCGAATCAAAGAGCACGACCAATTGGACGCGTGTGTGAAGAGCATACCTGAATGGAACAAAGAGACGATTACGCCTCTTGGATGCGAAAGAGGGAGGGAAGAGTAAAGCAGGTCCAAGTGATCAGTTGTTTGTCGACTTCACTTCCAGGATGGAACAGCTTTCTCGCTTTGCAGTCGGGTGCAGCAAGAACCCGCTCAGGATCAGTGAGAGGTATGAAGTGCGGCTGAACTTCGAAATCAACACCCGCTTTATGATCACAGAAGAGGCATGCTCGTGTGCTCCCTTTTGCTCACGTGTCCTCTAGCACGTGAGCACATGGTATGGGTTTGACTTTCAAACTGCTGACAGAGCAGAGTTGTATCAAGTGACTCAAACTCACTTCGTTCGCAAGCCTTGTGTTTTTGATCGTTCTTGCTTCCAAATAGTTTGACGTTCATGTTTAAAGCTCTCGACACTGATGCAGGAGATCCGCCTTTGTAAGCAATCAATGTGCCCCTTGCCCGAATGGGCATGCAGTGCGAATGCTTCTCATCGACTTGTCTCTTGGCATCAGACTGGGTCTCTCGGTCTCTCGGAAACGTGAAAGAGACGACCTCATTTGTCACGCGTGACTGTTGGCCAAGCCACAAACACGGTGCCTCTGAGTGGAAGCAAAAAGCCCATGGAAGTTATTGACCGGGATGTTCAGGATGAGCTGGGCGGCTGAGCGTTTGGGGATGGCTGTTCGTGCGTTTCCCAGGCTGAGCAAAGGCCGGGTAATTAAGAAGAAGTTCTTTGAGAGACAGCCAGCCCAATCACTGGTACTGTTCATGGAGAGTCCGATTTGCAGAAGAAAAGGAACGCAACAATTCCACCATGAGAATCCACGAATACCAAACCTTTTGTTTCCATTGGTCATATTGCCGTTGGATGGGTCTCATTTGGTCAGAGGGGTGGGATGACGCCAGCGTCCAATTCGGATGAGCAAACCGGAGTCCTTGAGGCATCAGGTTTTCCAACACCGTGGTGCCAGAGTCGCACCAAATCCCTCCGTAAAAGCCAGATGAACTGAGTATTCAGGGACCAGCCAGGTGAACTACCAGGGATGACCGCACACAAAACGATGAACGTGGCGGTGGCTCACACCACACCTGAGGTGTACATAGAAGAGGAAGCCACTGGCAATGACCAAGGCACTGGGTTCAGCGCTGTGCTTGCTTTCGATGCCTACACTGTTTCAGACATGTGAGCCACCCTCCCAGAAGCAATCATATAGAAGTGGACAACCATGGACAACCTCCTGTTTGTAGAGGAAAATTGTATTCCAGGAGGCCCTTGTCACCCTACATGATTGTTGGAGGGAGGGTAACTTTCACCAAGACATGATGTTTCATCAAAGAAACAGAAGCCGAGACTGATCCAAAGCGCCAACAGAGAACCGACTCACACAAAACCTCACAATGGATTCTTAGCACCAACCAAGCATCAAGACGAATGACGAATGCCTGGCGGAATGCTGGCAGGTGCTTTCTTCGAGTCTTTGTTTCAACGTTTGGGTCCCCTTGAGAGCAAGAACTTTGCGACTCTGTGGCCCAGCAGAATTACGAGGTGTGCAAGGTTTTTGGGTGTGCGAGTGACGCAAGGCACCGCGTAACCCGTAGACCGTACGTCGTGTAGGTCGAACGGCTTGTGGGTTCAGGGCAGTCTGGGCTCCCGGGGCGCTCCAAAATAGGGAGGTGGAAGTTCCAGGTTTTGGAACGTTTTGGATGGTTTTGGTCGAGTTTCTTTGAACAGTCGGGCACATGAGCCCTGAAGAGGGCAGTCTGGGCATACAAACTTCTGTCCGATCGAACCAGATAAGCCCTTTTTCCCCTGCCAAAGTATTCTCGGCGCAAACGACTTATGGTGCACGGGCCATGAGCCCGTGGCTTGGACAGACTCACGTGCCGCCACACGGGCTTGCTGTATAGGCTATACTGTATCGGTATGTCCCATTTCAGTACTCGTCATTGAGCCAAGTGGTGGTTGATAAAGGAATTGGCCACAAACAGTAAACGATGATCACTCTCTTTGCGCGGTGGGCCGGCCCACCGGCATCCATGATCCGCCAGTCGACCGCCTCACAGATCCGACGTCTCCCTGAGGCGTTTGGAGCTGATGGAGCGTCGGCAGCAGCTGGCGTCCGGTGGCTCTGATGAAGAAGCTTTGCAGAAGAGAGAAGACTTTGTTGTTTGGTCATTCTTGGTCCATTCACAGTGACCCCCTCCTTAATCCTGTCTTGGACATGTTTTCCATGCTATTTGTTCAACATCTAATTGGGACAACCCTATGATGGCATAGAGTTACTGTATGTTACTGTTTTGCAGTGTGAAGAAGGGGTTCAAATTGCACACCAGGAAGGCTATTTGCAGATGATCAACGACCTGGACACTGCGCAGCTGAGACGAAAATCCGATGACATTGAGATGGAAGACATGGGAGTTCACTTAGATAGTGTTGTCGCGTGGTCAGTTCCGTACGCAATTTCTCGAGTGTGTCTCTCCATAGCAAGAGCCCGTACCCGAGGAGTGTCCCCTGTGGCCCCATCGAACGGGGGTTTGTCTTTTCCATTGTGTGGCCATGGTTGAGGTTGTTGTAAGTGAACATCGTGTGGGGCTGGGATTTGCACCATCAGGTGCGCGTGAAAGGCACCTTGACGTAGCCTCAAGCTGGCTGGTTGGATGTCCTCTCTTTTGAATTATGTTGAGACATCCACATGATGGCCAAAATGAAACGTGCTTCTCAATAAGTGATTTTCTGCAATATGCTGCGCACTTTGACCGTACCTCAGGCTCTTCTATTTATGTACTGGTTCAGGGTATGTTCCTCAAAGAGGAAACTCTCATCACGCGTCAAGAGGCTTCGGGGGCAAAGAGTGACGAAGTGAAATTCAATAGAGTCTGATGATGGAGACAACAAGTGACTTGCTTTAGATGAATGATTTAGAATGATCCTCCCCCAAACAGACAGCAACCCACAAGTTTTTGCACGATCATTTTCTATGGGGGACCACCCTGATTGCACAATTTTGCACTGTGCTCTAACCACACCCTAACCCCCCCAGTAGGCCCTCCATGTTTGGCAACTCGCCCACACGGACTCACCCCCTGTAGTTTTGGAAGATGTTCACCTCCAAACACACACACAAACACCACACTTTGATCCATGCTCGCAAGAGCTCTATCAGTTTGGAAGTTCCAGCGTTACTGCAATTAGACCTTTAATGCAATTATTAGACCTTGACTTGGCTCAACGGTATGAAGTGCTGGGTCGGCAAGAGCAGAATGTTTCAACGAAGCGCATTAACCCTTTAGTGAAAAGTAGGGTGAACAGCTTGGACAGCAGTTCGAACAGTTCAAAAATGCAGGTATGTTTACACTCCGGTGGGGGGTGTCTTCGTTGGCCGGAGACCCCCCACCTGGCTCCGGCCCCCTGCTGAACGGTACAAATGTTTAAGTGTGACGGAGCTCCTTGGAAACAGGTATTTCAGTACCACCATTCAGCCGAACCCAGGGGCCGAACCCACCTCAGGGGCCGAACCCACCCGTCTTGGCGCCCCGCCCGCCCCGCCCCGGTCCCCACGTGGGCGATCCACCGAGGGTCCAGCAGATCACCGAGCTCATGGACGTGGGCGCCGAGCCGCGGCAGCTCTTGGACCTGCTGGTGGAACGGGCCGCGTGGACGGAAGGGTGGAGGTCGGTCAGAGGGCGGTCGAACTGGGCGGAAAAGGATTGAAAGGGGTGTCCAAGAGAAATGGACGGAATGGATAGATGTGTTTTGCAGAGGCAGAAGGTACTAAAGGGGAATGGATTGATGGATGGAATGGTATTTTTGTTGTTCCTTTTTGATCCTTTTTCTTTGCGAAGCTCATGGTGCTCAGTCGCCTGCTTAGAATCTAGAAATCCATTTCAATCTCTGGCGGGGGTTGAAGCGATTTGGAAGCTCGCGCTTGGCCTTCCATTCACCCTGTCTCTGCCAAAAGCCTGGCTTTGGTCACAGCAAAACACGGCTGCCGAAGTGCCTTCTCCGCCATGGCGTGCACTGCATAGGTGGCCCATTGAATCGGAAAGTTGTCTTGCCATGATGTCCGCCGCTGGAAAGGGCAACTCTCCGGACCAATCATGTCAAACCTCCTGACCAATCCTGGTGCTTTGTTGTTCAACTGTGCTTGATCCTCAAGACCCGCCTCCTGTCACCGAACTCCTGCGGCAATGAGGTTCTCCATGTTTGGGATCCCCGGGGGGGCGCATCTCTTGTCAGCCAAAATGAACACCAATTGTTGCGCAGGCATAGCTCTATCCTCTCTTGTCTTGGTTTGTCTTGGAAATATGGAGATAAGGCATCTCGTCCTTTTTGAGGGTGGGAAAGAAAACGAAATGCCGATGCCCCTTCTTGCCTGGCTGCACCATCCACGTCCATTGCTCCTCTTTCTCTTTCTAAGACAAGCTTCCATTTGGTAGTTCTCCAGCTGCTACGCCTGGTGTAACGAAGCGCCTGTGGTAAAGGGAATGGATTTGCGCGTATGTAACATGATAGATCATGCTAGTATACAAACATGTACATCCGGCACCATCAAGCACGAGTCAATGAGTATGGCCAAGAACCGATGAAATCAGCTTGAGAACAAGACGGTTGGCGTAGGTGTTTCACTGCGGTCTCTTGAAGGATGGCCTGTGGCCGTCACTGTTTTGACTCTCAGGCAGATGGAAGTATGCAGGGCCGAATGATTTTGACACAGCCTGGTGGTACACAGGATGGACGTAGCTGCACTAGTTTAGTGGAATGTGGTACACAGTGCGAGCATGTTTGTCCCAGTTAGCTCATTCTTTTGCACATTCGGGGAATTGCACCGGCCGCTGACTAGCTGCCTAGCTTGGGGCTGAGGTCAGGGTTCGGCAGCGGCAGTTCCGATATCTTGAAATGACTGACAGGCGGGCCGTTGGTGCTTGGGACGTTTTTCCCCTTTTTTCATCCCTGCTCGGAGATCATAGTTGTCCCATGTTGTTCCAAATTGATTCAGATTTTCCCAGACACTCCATGTACTGTATGCCATATAATGGCATTTATGCCTACATTGACCCCCAAAACCACCCCAATGTAGGCACATATGGCGCACACAGAGTGTTTGGGTTTCTTGGGCTGGTTGTGTGCTCACCTGATGAGCTCGTTAGTGTGTTGCCTCTTCGCCACGAAGACATGCCGGGCTGCCGGGCCTGGGTTCCGGGCGCTGACCTCGTCGACATCGCTGACCCGATCGCTCCAAACCGGGGGCCAAGGAACGGAAGCCGACACCGTTCGACCCGACACCGAATGAAGCGGAAGACACCATGTAATTGAAGGATGGTGGGTACTGTTTTTCGGCCCCCCGGGGCCATTCGTTCGCTGTCTCGGATCAGAGCTCAAGCTCTGAATTCGCGTTTCGTGCTGCCTCGCTTTATGCCACTCCGACCCCCCAAGCCAAAGCTGCACACGCACGTTCCGGCAACTCGGCCGGTTCGAAGTTCCGGCAACTCGGCCGTGGGGACCTCGGAAAACCGGGTTCAGCTGCGCCCACACGCGCAGTCACTTGAAGTCCATCTTGGAGCGGCAAGGCGAATACAAGAAGGACCGCGATCGTGGGGTCGTCGGTGAACCAGTCTACCAATGACCCTTCCGTGGGTCGAGAGGTGACTGGGCGACCGAAGCCGGCAACAGAGGGGCTTTCTGCAGTGACTGGTGGATTGATTCCCCTCTAAGCCATTCTAAACCAACTAAGTGGGGTATGGTCAGTCCCCATAACATGTCTTAAATGATGTCTTACGACTCTGGTTTATCCAGCAGAGAATGGAGCAAGCGCTCCATGCCCAGTGGTCTAAAGATGTCTGGCTTGAAAACATGGTCATGGATGGCGATCCAATTTTTGTGGATGTTTCCATATACAGTATGTTCCTTTTTGCATCCTCTTAGAATCTTTTGGATCCTTTTGTTGTACCAGTTCCATCCGTTTCCCAGAAACACTTGTACGTTGTCTATTTTGTTTTGGTATCCTGTTTTCACTTGTACGTTGTTATATTGTTTGGTATCTTGTTTTCAAAGCCATACCCAGGCCCAGACCCACATTCGGCCGAAGTAAACCAGACCATGAAGATGCCCAAGCGGCTGTTTTTTTCCGAAGATGTTCGGCCCCCCCCAATGTGTGGCCGTGCTGCACAACGTGTCAAAAGATTCAAAGCGCTTCCAGGACCTCAAGCTGCAGATGACCGAGCTGAAAGATGCTGTAGGCCTTGGAATCTAGCCAAAATACATGTTACTGGTTAGGTGGTTAGGCTACTGAGTATCAGAAAGTGGCGAAGCTAGACTTGCAGCAAGAGGGTGACTAAGGATGTAGCCTGGAGAGGCTTTGAATGAAAATCTTTGGAGCGAGCGATTCGATGCGTTGTTTGGAGGTACTGAACTGCTCACAGCAAGCCTTCAGCGGTTTTGGGTTGTGTTTTTTGGCCTTGTTCCCTTTGGGTGTCATGAAGGTGGTTGGTCAAAGTAGGTATGCTGACAGGTCTCAGAACGATGAACAGGGATTTTGCCGCAGGAGAATATCAAGCATGACTCACGGGGAGAAATTGGAGAATCTGTAGGAGGACACTTCATTCTTGTTTTTGTTGTTATATTGACCAGTTTTGTGCATAAACTGGGGGATGGATCGAAACCAGCGAAACTAATAACAAGCGATTGAATTGCTGGGCCCAGAATCATGTCGTAATTAGATATCCTCTCGAATTGCAGGCGACCAGGAATCTTGTCAGGATATGAGCATCCGACAAAACTTCCGTACATGCACTTTAGTCATGAGCCGCCGTATTTCTGAATTGGTCAACACCTTGCAAACCGATAGGGGCCAACGCTATACCGATACCCTTTCTTAATTGAAAGTAGCTTGCTGCCTGCATTCCAAAACACTTGAAACCGATAGGGGCCAACCAAAATTACTCTTGGGGACACGAAGAAGCATATATTCTCATTCAACAGCGCTACTGTTTGTGTATAATAACCCACTCGTCCCAAGCATCACGAATTGGAAACGGATGGACTTTCATCTCCATCCCCGAAAGCCGCCGATCCGATGTTCGTGGCAGATTTCTCGCTCAGCATGAAGTTGCCCCAAACGCTGCAGCAGGCAGGGCATGACCGTCAGTTACGGCAGAGACCAGTTCGCCGGGTCGCCGGGTCAAAACCTTCTGACTGCATCACCGACGCGGTCGTTCCGGGCTCGGTGGACGGGTATGTCTCGGTCCTGAGTCCCCTACTCCGCCCAGTCACATCCATGGCGGCGTTGGACATCTGGAGGTTCTGTTTTGGGTTTCGTCCAATTCTGGGGGGCCCACGAGAGGAATAGAGTTGAAGGTGCAAATCGAAGTGGCCAGATTCTGTGCAAGAGGCAAGAGGTATCAGTTGAATCGATTGAAGAAGAAGGTTGTGTTTGGCTGATCACGAGGCTTGTCTCTGGGGCTCCAACCGACTTCCTTAAGCGGAAACTGATAGTTGGATCTCTGGTTCTGGTTCCTTCCCTTGTTTAGGCACTTGGAATATAGAAAAACGACTCCCTGTGAGCCTGTAAAGATCTGGAACCCTGGCATAGCCTGGCAAGATAATCAGACCACTTTTTTCTTCCCGGTGCCCGTTGCGGCAGCCGCGGACGTCTGAGGCTTGCCATGACTTTGGAGTGACGTCTTCTTTCCAAATCATCCAGAAGAAGATGGAATTTGTGCCAACACTCATGGCCACAAAGGCTGGCACTGTGCGAAAAGATGGATCACGCAGCACAGTGTAGAGTGCAGCACCCAAACGTTGGCAGGATATGGCTGAGATTGGCTGCTCCTACATTCCAATGGCCACCTATCCTGTGGCCAAACTCAAGAAGATGAAGGCAGGGTGAGATCGAGAGACCTTGGAGGTGTCTTTCGGAAAGGTTGGAGTTTCGACATCCATGGCGCCTCCTGGGACCTCCTCGTGATAAGAACTTGGCCCATGCTGTGCACCTTGCTATTAGTAACGATGCACCTTGCTACTAGTAGCTGCGTAGCTTCTTGTTACCTCTCAAATGCTTTTTTGTTGAGAAAAGCGGCGCCTTCCCCAAGTTGACGTTCCATTCTGTTCCACTGAGGTTCTGGTGGAGGTGTGTCCTCCACACAACGCGCTGCAGAGACACTGCTGCAACATCAGTTCTTAGTGATCCACCCGTCAGCCCGGGGAGAGGTCGAAGCAAGCACGACGACGAAAACGACTGTGCCCCAGAAAAAACACGAAGAAACGTGTCCCGGACCTAGAGTGGCAGGGTTTTCTTCATTTGGGATCAATGTAAACAAGTGCATCGCTAGTAGTAACAAGTGCCTTACTAGTAGTAACAATAAGCTATTAGCATTACTTTTAAATTAATAGCAAACATTGTTACTACTAGTAAGGCACTTGTTACTACTAGCGTGGCACTTGTTCCTAATAGCTTCTTGTTACTACTATACATGTCAATATGCGTTAGATGTCCGTGGAGTGTTTGGGCGTAAGATGTCCCTGGACTTTTCGGTCACATGGGACGATGCAGACGATGCTGCATCCTCGCTGTCAGCACGCAGTCAGCGGACGCAGTCAGCAACTGCGGCACCATCAGTTTCTGGGATCCTGAAAGAGTTGCCAGACCTACAGTCACCTACTTACATTGCCCACATAGACTATGTAGACTCTTGATTACAGCTTCGACTCCCCCATTTGGTGACATTTGGTGACTCTGGGGTTTGGATGATGGGATTCGCATGAACTCATATGAATTCAAGTTGGGGTGTGTTCCCAATGCACCCATATGTATAGACCTTCAGCACTGCTTGAACCGCTGTGCCGCACATGCACACACACACACACACATGCGCGCCGCTCCGAACAGCTCGCGGGTGCCTGTCGAGCGAGCGGCCGCGGTCCGACGAGTCATCTGAGTCCAGGGGGCCGAGGGGGCCGAGGGGCCTTGGCTTTTCCACCTGATGGGCAAATCAGGATTCTGAAGATCGGAAGGTTTTGAAGACAATCCCCAGAAAACATCAACATGAGCTCGGATAGCTCGGTGGGATGGGACTTGGCCAGAGGCTGTGACAAAAAGGGCGTAAAGAAGCCGCCAACCTTTTTGGGGGAAATCACAGACTCAGTGACTTATTTGAGCTGGGACGAGGAAGATGATGGAGATCACCTTCAAGAAGCTCGATGCGCAAGCAGTGGAGATCACCGTCAGCGTCGCGCAACTCAGCAGAGATTTCGAGCAATTGGAGTACGTATTCGTCGTCGCTGATTTGTTGAGCAGCCGGACCTTGGCCACGTGCCTTTTTGTCACATGCAGGCGCGCACTTGTCTTGCTCACTTGTCTTGTTCTTGATCCGTTTGCTCCTTTTCTCTTGCGACATCATGGGACTAGGCAAGGCAGCAACAAGAATGTCATCAAGAAGATTACTTTGGAGCCTGCCAAGTTGCATCTTGACTTAAAACATATTGTTCTTCACCTGGAAGCTTCGAGTATTTGCTCGAAGTACATAAGCACAGGTGCATGTTCAGGAAACGACCCAGAACTCTACAAAGCTTTCTCATCACAATCTTGTTTTGACCAAGAACTGATCCCTCTAATTATTTCAAGAGCTTTCAAGGCATCGCCTTCGTCCTTTTCAGAACCAAACTATCAGGTTTGGCCAGCGCAAATTCGTCACTAAAAAGGTCACAAAGGGGGATCGGCCACATCCCGAAGGAAGAGGTTTCTGCCAGCCCAGCCTGGCCCCGCCCTCGTTCCGAGAACCGAACGGCAGGAAACAACTTCGAGCTGCAAAGAATGATGCCTGGTGCTCAGTGAAAGACCTACAGATTCAACGTCATTTGGATTTCTTCTGTTTGGTTGTACCATGTTGTACCATGTTGTTCAAAATCATACAGAATGCACTCATGGATGCTCTCTTCCAGGCATAACTTGACCTCCTTTCTTCCGGTCGCGCACTTCTCCGGCTTCTCCGGCACGTCTCGAGATGAACACGTCAGGAGATTGCAGAGTTTGGCATCCCCGGCGAAGCGCCCTTCATGACTTGCAATGCCTCCAACTTTGTGAGTCTCGGAGCTCGGATTCGACAGATCATTCTTCACATCAAAAGCACTGCCTTCTTTGCAGGCCTTTGCAGGCAATTTCGTCCCGTTTTCTTTCGTGGCTTTTCGGTGCACCCAAGCAACGGTCACTGACAATGTCACTTCCGGTTTCATGGCATTCCATGGGATTGGCACCATGACGCCTGTGGCCGCCTGAGTTTTCACCGTCACAGCAGGTCCATCCACCCAAAAATGAGATGTGACGGTACCGCCGAACTGTTCGGGGGTTCAGACGTTCAAGTCAGAGGTGAGAATCGGAATCTGTTTTGCGGATGAGGTCTCTTGACAAAGATCGAGAAGGGGAAGTCCTGAACCTTTGTACAAATCAAGTTTCACCTAGTTTACGATGGCTTTTCTATGCAAAATGAATTACATCAACTTATATTCAAATATACAAAATTACTTAACATATTTGGGGAATTAATTACTAACAAATATTGGGGAATTAATCGAAAACCCTGGGTAAGTAATTTTAATAAAACAACCTTTTAGATATTATTAGAACTATCCGCAAAAGATTCGCGAATTTTTATTTTTTTCTCGCGATGGATTTATCGAAGATTATTACTTTCATATATTTTCCTTTTTACCGGATTGATAAAGAATAGAAATATAATGTAATCGTCCGGTAGAACTTGTGGGCGGAAGTATTTCTATATATCATAAACTAACGAATTGAAGCCTTAATATTTTCGTGCTTTGTCCTGGTAGTGCGTAAAGGATTCGCCGATTTTTGTGCTTATTGTTATTGATTAGTAATTTGAATAGGCATAATTTTGATAGTGAGGTAACGATTTGTAGTTTCTCTGACGGGTTGTATAGATGTTTGATGATGTTTGCAAATGTTACTGGAGAAAGCCCCAATGAAATTTCGCGAAAGATCCGCGAAAATTTCGCGAATGTTCCGCTATGTTCTAGGTTCTTAGTTTGAAATCCCCTAACGTTTCCCAAGCTGTATTATTTTGTGTCGGTAGTTGGCACGAGGATTGGGTTGAATTGTATCTGATTTTATTTGGTGTAATTGTCGTATAGATGTTGTAAGTGACCCTAAATAGTTGTGGAAACGTTCAATTTTTTATTGGGGTCATATTGTAAGATGTTTGTCCGTATTTTGTCTCTAATATTAAATATGTTCTGCCTTATATTAGTTAGATATGTGTAGGTTGGACCATGCTTCGCGATCAGGTCGCAAAAGATACACGAAAGATATCTTATTTTACGCGAAGAATGGCTATTCTAGGAAAATCTTAATTATATAATTATTAAATGGAAAATAATATATTTATATATATTAAAAAATATATTTATAGTAATTATTTATTTACATATAATATTTATTAAATTTATGATATATTATATTTAATATTTAAAATTATATATATATATTTATATTATATATTTAGAAATTATTAATATTATAAAATAAATCTATTATATAATATATATTATTGAATATAATATATTATTATCATTAAAATTAAAAGATATATTATATAGTAATGATATAAAATAATATTTATATTTATTATATATTTATATATGTAATATATATATATTTTTTTAAAGGAATTTATTGAATTATTATAAATATTATTTTATTCTTATTTTAATTATTAGCTTTTTATATATTTCTAATTTCTAATTAATAGAAATCTTTTAAATGATATAGGAAGGACACAAGAATTGATTCAAACAAATTGAATATTGGATGATAAAATTATTAAGATATGAATTATTTTTTAAATATTAATAGATTTGTAATTTTTTATTTATTTGTATTTTTTTTCTGGCTATGTATTCTTTTATTTGATTTATTTTATATATATTTTTATTATTTCTTAATTTATTGTTTATTTGTATTATTATGAAGATATTTAATATTAATTTGATATTGTATTATTTATTATAATTTATTAATGATTCGTTGCTAAATGAAGATATAAAAAGATATATCTAATCTTAAACATTTATGTATCTTTATATTTTTTGAATAGGATTTTCTAAATGTTGTATATAAAAAAAAAATCTATTTTCGAATAGAATTTAATAAATATATATTTTTATATAAAAAATAATATATTATTTATATATTATTAAAATAAACATCTATATATTTGTTTATATATTATTATAAATATTATAGAATGGGATGCGATCGAATAAAAATACGTGGATTTTTGAAGTAAAATCTTCGAACTATTCGGATTATTTCCTACATTTTCGCCATTTCATTTTTAGTTTTGGTTCCTTCATAATTGGTCTACGGTTTCCGTCGCGGTCCGGACCCCCGCCCAAATAATTTAATTATTTTATATATTTCGATTTTTAATTTCAAGAAATAATCCAATTATTTCATATATTTTGCTTTCGTCTTGGGGCATGTACCACTAAGCAATTCTGCTACATTCCGACGCCATCGGTCGCGGGTTCGAATCCCGCATGGTCCACCACAGATAACCTTAATTCATTTCGAATTTCTTCGCAGCGACCGTCCTTGGGTCCTCATTTCTCACTTCGTTCCTATGTGTTCATCGAGCACTTCTTGGACGCGTGCGCCAGCGCTTTCCACTGTAACGTTCGGACGCGTACGCGAGGGATGAAGGCCTTACCATAATACTCTGTGTTCAATAGCTATATGCCTGAGCGCGTCGCAAATTCAATACTTATATTTGATGCTTTGACAGAGTGCATTTGTGTGGAATACTGCATTGATAAAGCTTCATTTTGTTTGATGCTTTGAAAGATTTTGCATTTGTTTGGCAACATTGCATTGATCTATTTTCGCCCTGCATCTTTTGACATACAAACGCGGATGTGCATTATTCATTCTGGCTTGTTGTCATTGCGCCGATCATTTGTTCCATGTTCTGAATGACCTTCTGCTCGAGTTGTCTTTTGCAGCTTCAAAAAAAGGGCTTGGCATTGTTGGCAAATGCGAGACAGCTGCGTGCAAATTAGCATTATCATTATCAGATTATACGGTGCTTGTTGCAAGCATCATGGACATCGCACAATATTGTGTATAAATTGGAGACAGCTTCTTGCACAGAAACATTATGAAAAGAAAAAAATCTATGCAAATACGAATTGGATTTTCTCAAAATTGATGGCGCCCTAACCAGCTCGATTTTCAATTCTTTGCCATTGCAGTCCTGCTCCTGCAGCCATTTTGCCACTTGCGTGTGGCCCGGCAGAGGGGCAGCTGCTTCCGGGGATCACAATCTTGAAGTCATAAATAACCGAAATAATGCTAGGCACGGTGTATGTTCGTGATACCAATTTTGCTTTCCAATAGTTCCAAAGTAATGCAAACATATTCGGTTCTCATGGCGTGGAATACCGGAGCTTTTTCTACCGATCGTTTGCATTGTTTGTTGTCTGCCTTCTTGGTTTTTACCGTGGGTTTGTCCACGAATTTTGCGGCCAGGTTCTATGCTGACACTGGGTTGTGCATATGCGGTGCTTACGGGTGGCCGTGGCATCTGTCCCTTGCTGCGCGATCGCCTACATGACATATCGGCACGGGCAACACCGGCTTGGTGCATCGCATATCTGGCCACGATCGACTCGGACATGGTGTGGGAACAGACGGCAGGGTATTCCTCGGAATCCGCATGCAAAGCATCTCGAGCCAACAGATGAGATATCAGACATTGCACACGAACCTAATGGTGAGGACGCGGATTTCAATCCTTTAAAGCAGAACTTCAACGGTAGGATATCAGCAGACGCCCGGGCCGTGTTGCAGAGTATCGATGAATCGGTCCTCAACCTCGCCGAACACTCCGGCTTGGAAAGCGGCCAGTCACAACGGCTGGCATCCCTTCAACGCTTTGTGCTTTTCAGGAGCTCGGGCTGCATGGCAACGGATTAGCCGGCAAAATTTGACAAAATGATCAAGAGCAACTGCAGCAAAACCCATGTCTTTATTTCCGGATCAGGGCCTCATTATGAAGGTGCTGCTGGACAAGATCGGCAAACTTTGGGTGGATGGCGGCTTTGACATTCGAGACCAGTTCTTGAAAGCCTATAGCCCAGTGCCTCGACTACCTGCAATGGGTGGCTGTCCGCACTTTCTGGCAATTCTGGCGTAATGCTCTGCGATCTGTGGCACTGACCTGTGTTCTGCTCGCTATCCGCCGCTGCAGGTGACAAGCAACTTGCAGAAAGTGATCGATGAGATCTGCAACAGATTCGGGCGGCGCTATCGTGGCCGGTCATAGAAAATGTACTTTATTGTTGCATGAAAGTAATTAATACGATGAATGGAAGCCAGACCTATGTTCCCTACTAAAAAATAGATATTTTAATTTCTATTTAGCAAATATATAAGAAAAATCGGTATATTTCATATCAAATTTTCCAGCTTTCATCTCTACCTTTACCTTCAAATTCTTTACACGCATTAAACATATCGTACATTTTAATACTATATATATACACATTTTTTGAATTAACCAAAATTTCTTGAACTTATGATCAAACAGAAATATGTTCGATATATTTTCGATAATGAACATTGCGGCCACAACGGTTCGAAATGAGCATTGCAGCCATGATTAAGAATGTACAGCTTGTGGCCTCCATGGCCATATACGTCCCCATTTCCAAGAAATTGGGCTGATAAATTGTAAATTGTATAATGTGGGCCTCTTATTAATAACCCCCCCCCCTTGATCAAGCGTGGGCCCCAAATAATGTGATTTCCAGAAAAAATCCTAGAAAATCTTGATTTGAATAGGAAAGGAAAGGAAAGGAAAGGACAATGAAAGGAAAGGAAAGGAAATTGAAAGGACAATGAAAGGAAAGGAAAGGAAAGGAAACCTAAAGGACATGTAAAGGAAACCACCAAAAGAACCAGCCAAAAAGTGTTTAGTATTATTTGAGGTCTTGAGTAATTGAAGGTTTGGGCTGCTTGTGGGGGGTGGTCTTTGTGGGTTGATTTGAGGTTGGAAATTGCAAGGCCCAAATAAGCATTTTTTAAAGGAACATGCAGCAGCCAAATCAGAAATCCAGAAAGGATGCCCTTCAAACAGCTAAAACCGACCAACCAAAAGGACACCTAAAGGACTTGTAAAGGAAACCACCAAAAG